GTCGCGCCTGCCTTTCCCTGGGAGTGTAGACAGAAATGGTGGGGGCCTGGCTGTAGTGGCCAGGTGTTGCCTAGTAGCGTTACTGCGGCGGCACGCCGGGAAGCTGGCGTTACAGAGGAAAGGATGTGCTCTTGTGAACATCTGGTATTGATACAGTGGAGTAGGGCAGCAAAAAATAACTTGAATGCGACTGGGTGGTGGGTCCAGAGTCGTCTTTTGAGCTTCCACTCCTAATTTGAGAGGGAGGATGAGAGAGTAGAAAACAGTACATCTGCTGTCAGACTCCCAACAAATTCATCTCAGTCAAATCAATTATATGCTCTCTTAACAAGGCTGTAATAAAAGCTTGCCATGGAGACACTACTTGTGCTGTGCAAGTACCCACTTCTAGGGTTAAGGTGGTAACAAGATCTGTTAATAAACGATCTTCTCCAAACTTCTTGTTCCTTACAGACTGTCACTCTTCCACTTCTTTTATTCTAAACAGTGGCAAAGTGAAGGAGAAGCTCGTTCACAGCAAGCCATTACAGGTGTTCCTGTGAAGGTTGTTGGACCCGTTCCTTGCTGAAGAAGGCTTTATTTGAGAGAGGAATCACACGCTGAAATACAGTGGTGTGAAGTGACAAAAACGGGGATAGTCATCTGTGAGAATTTGCACAGGATAGTGTGAGGGAACGCTGACAGCAACAGGTCTTTAGGAAATGTGGAAATGAAATAAACTTCTTTCACTATTCTCATGAGGTTTGTGACAGAATTCATTTGAAGATGCTTTGGCCTCTTACTCTTGCTCCTCCTTCCAAGGTAGGGGGAAGCTGTGTAATTCTAGTTCTGTTTGGTTCTCTTAATGGCTTCATTAAAAAAAAACCCACACGTGTCTTGAGATTGAAGCTTCGTTGTGGGCATTTTCCTCTTTTTTCCCCTCTAACACCATTGTCTATCTTCTAATTTTTTCCCATTTAAATTTGCTGCTTTTCTCAAAAAAGGGAAGTTACTAAGACATCTGGGAAAGCGCAGCTCCTCATGCCATGCTGCTTTTCAAGTCTTTGTGTAAGAACTTCATAATATTTTTTATCTCTTTCAGCTGCCTATACCACCTTTTTCTTACCCCCTGAGTATGTAATTCTAACATGGACCTTTATTGTTAATAAATCAGTTATTGTCAGCTGCTTGAAAATATTCTGAAAGTGCTAAAGATTTCTCTAGACTGAATTTGACGTGTTATTTCATGAAATTAAAGTATGTATTGGAAGTTTAGTGTGTGAAATCTATTTTTAGAATTTTACTGTTTTTCATCAATGTGCATCTACATGATGCTCTGTTAAATGGCAAGCAAGGAGAATCTTCTCCCGGGAAGGACTTGACGTTAGAAAACCATTCAGGTTCACACTACCAGATGAGATGGCACGACGATATTTATGTAGAACTGTCTTGCAGTGTTTACAGCTAACATGCACTTATTAAAAGATGGCTAACATTTTCAAGGCAGCCCTTTTTTTTTTTTCCCATTATAAAACCCTAGTCTGCCTTGCTTGCAGCTTTGCCAGGCTCGAATGTTTTGTGTTGAGTCACGAAGTATGTGTGTCTGAATTGTTTTGTAAAACTTCATCCAAGAAGGCTCAGTTGCTTATGAGAATGTCATGTTTTCCCACATGAAAAATTTTGAAATTTATGAAAATATTGGTATTGTAGACGTCTTTTGTTGGGGAAAGGGACTGTTTTTCTGTAAATATTCCATCTCTAGGGCAAGTGTGAGATTTTGGTGGGAGAGATTAAGTTTCAGAAATGTGCCTGCTCATATCCTGGAAGAAATTAATCAAGTTTGGAGGTCTGAGACTGGAACAATCTCAGTGGATTCTCAAGGACTGAGACTAAATGAGAGTCAAAGGACTGAGAGAGAGATTTGATACAGAGTCTGTGAGAGAGTTGTGACGAAGTGGGAATAGGACCTAGGAGCCAGTAATGCTCCGAGCGTTGGAAGTCTCTGCTTTCTGTTCAACCCGTAGAATACAGCGAGAGAAAGTAGGCTGGAGGGGGCACGGCTGCAGGCAGAGAAACATTGTCCTGTGGGTGAGGGAGCAGGACACTGCTCTGGAGAAATGAAGTTTCTCTCTGCCTTTGCCACAGGGTTCCTCTGCTGTCAGAGAGATACCTGGAGCAGAATGGTCACCATGTGCCTGCTCCTTCTTTACTGGGTGTCCTGCTTGATACCCGCAAGGCCGAATTGCAGAATTCCCGAGTTCTCTGTTAAATCGGTTTGAGATCCAAGGTATGCAAAATTAGGAGGCGCTTGCTCCGGATCCTTGTCTGTAACAGTGGAGTGTTCGTACTCCCATACCTCATTAGGGTGCTGCAGAAATAAATTTGTTTCTTGACATGAGATGAAAGTACAGAGGAGGAAACTTAAGCATTTGAAGTTCAGAAGAATAAATAAAGGATGGGGTCAGACACTGCAAAGAGAACTAAATATTGAATAACTCCTCACTAATTGAGTAACATCAAACTGTGCACTGAATAAGTGAGGAATACAAAGGGGAAGCTAGTATTTCAATGTTTATTTAACCAATGATTTTATACAGATGTACAGGAAGGCTGAATTGAGTTTGGAGATGTAGTCTTCATTCTGACACCTCCTAATAGGAGGGGGTGATTTTGCGACCTTAATGTTGAAGAGTTTTTTTGTGTGACTTGGATATATGCAGACTTTAAAAATGTCATTCTTGTTATTTAGCTAATTTATTTAAAGATAGTCCTGTTCTTTGAGATGGACACATGGGGAGAACAGCACTCGTGTCAAAGTTTGAGCATGTCTTGTTGGATTAGGTTCTGGGGGAGTGCAGCAGAGGGGCTGAGATGTGCAGCCACACTTTTCCCCCTTGAAGCACTTTGCAGGGCGTGCCAAGTGCTGCAGCAGCTTTTGTGTAGTGTATCCTGAAAGGATCTGCAGTGTGTTCCCCAAAATTCAGCTGTGTGGAACTGCTTTGTAGGAGTGTTTGAGCACTGTGCAGTGGAACACGCCAGCTCATGCCCGTGTGAAAGGCGTCTCAGAGAAGTTGGCCTGTTATGCTGAATCATGATTGAGCTGTGCAGAAATCAGGTGTACAAATCTCCCGTGACCCAGGGCTTGCGTGACTAATGATACCAATGGTAAATCACTCGGTTGCAGACCCGACCTAAGCGTTTCAGGAAAATGTCTTCATAAAGAAGTCATCTGAAGTGGGAGTGTATGAGGAAGGGGTGTTTTACTTGAGGAAAGTAAAAAAAAAAAAAAAAAAAAAGAAGGAAATTTGCATTTTCCGTGGTGTGTATTACAGCATCTTGGACAAACTTCATCACCAGACTTAGTTTTGCCGTGTTTTTAGGTGTACACGTTTTCTGTAGACCACCTCAGAAAAATGAGATTGGCTTTCTGGAGGGTCTGGTTGGTGTCTGGTTGGTGAAGGAGGCTGTTGTCTGTAGACTTGTGGCCTCACCTGCTAAAGAGTTTGTATGGTGGATGCAGGAGAGGACTGCAAGAAGAGAAGGAATTCATTGCATAGTGAAGGCAGGACTCCGGGGTCGCTGGGAGCTTGGTGGTGTGCAGCCGTTGTTCTGCTGAAGACTCAAAACGTTGTCTTTTAAAATTGCTGTAGATGGCCTGCGGGGTGAGTCGATGACTCCTGAGGTGCTGGGAGCAGCGCTTCGTGAACACTCTGAAGTTTCTCTTTATGGGCTAAGCCATAAACAAGAAGAAAGCATATGGCCAAGAAGATGTTGACCCAAGCCAGACCACTTGATGCTGTTTTGTTCTTTTCAGTTAGATACGGAATGGTATTTTCCTGTTTCACAAACACAAGCGTTAGGTTTTGAAAATGTCAAAATGCATGGATTTTTGATGAACTGTTTTTAAAAAGCCTGAATTCACAAAACCATAAATTGTGACTGAGTTGTGTGTTGACTGCAAGAAGGGAAACCTTTTCTGGTTTTTGATATCTTCTTCGCGTAGCACCGTGTGAGAATTTCATGCTCAGGTGTGCATCCAGCCCTGTAATTGCTTTTAAGCAGTGGGAAGCGATCGTGGGTGAATGCAGTTCCCTGGAGCCTGGCAGTCCAGAATCCCAGGGTATAAATTATTTCCAACGTCTAGCAAACCATCGGCTTCCCATTGCTGCATTTCCCCGTGATTGTCTCGCCAGCCCCATTTTTTTTTCCCCATCTTGCTCTTTCCAAAAGCTGTAAACAATTAGAGTTTATACAGGATAAAATAAATTAAAAGCAATTTACAGTCAAACTTTTTTGGCCTTTCTGTGGCATTTGGAAGAAGGGGATGTCTCTTTGTGCTGATCTGAGATAACAGATCCAGCTGCAAAAACCAGCGTGGCTGGCATCTTCCTTTGGCCATGATATAGCTGTATGCTCCAGATAAGTGTGAAAAATGCCTGATGCAGAGGGGTGCATCTCTGGTCTTTTTTGGTCTCTGTCAGAAGCAGAGGCAGAAACCTGATCCACTTCTACCACACGTTGATCAGACTCCGGGAGGTCCACCACAAGCTCAGTTTGCTTGGCTGCTGCACTTCTCCCACTGACATGCAGGAAGGGGTCAGACTCTTGGAAAGATGCCTGCTTGGAAGAGTAACAAGATGCTCCATGTGGAGCCAGCTTTGTGAACTTCACTGTTCCTACAAAATGAGTTCTGTCCCAACAGGCAGGGGACATGGTTCCCAGGAAAGGGGTTTCAAGTTCAGCTGAAAGTGGTATTGATAGGAATAGGGCTCCGTTTACTGGAATACGTTTGGTATCCCATCAAGATCATTTGCAAACAGTCTTTTGATGAGGTGTCCTGCCAGCTGTCATGTTAGAAAGGGACAATTTGAAATGTTTCATTTCAAATGACTGAAGGAACACTTGCCCTAGATACTGATATACTGAAATTCATAGGTGTTGGATTCATTGTGTTGCTGAAGGAAACAGAAAATAACTCGCTGTGAGAGTCAAAGTAAGCCTTTTATTCTTCCCCCCGGCAGGTTCCCATCCATCAAAATCTTAAAGAGCTCCTCGCCATCCGGACGGAGCTTCAGAAGAAGGTTGAAGATCTGCAGCGGGAAGCTGCCACACGATCCATTTCTTCCTCCTCTGACAGAGGTTCCTCTCCTTCCCATTCTGCCACACCAGTGCACACCTCCGTGTGATGTGTAACAAAAGCCGTGCGAAAAGATTTCTGTCAGGTGATGCAGAGAGGAGGGTGAAGTGCTTTTCCCATCACAAAAGGATCGTCAGTGACTTGTAATTGCTATGATCTACATGCCTTACTCTGTGTCTGATATTATCATGATGAGGCCAAAAAGAGCTTCAATAGATGTGATGTATTTTCTTGTTGGCAGTTCCCACGTGTGTTTTGACATCTCTAGCTAAATCACCAATTGTTAAATTAAACTTTGTTTTGAGCAACTAACAATTTAACCATCCTAAAAAGGAATCCATCTGCCAAGCAGACAGAAAAATGCCTCTCACACTGCCTAGGGTACCATGCCTGGTGGAGAGAATCGGATTAAATGCCACGTGATGCTTACACAGAACGTTTTTCTGAATGGGAGCTCCTTGTTCACTCAGTAATATATATATTTTTTCTTTTGCTAGAGCAATTTATTTTTTTTAGGTAATTCATGCACTTGGAAATGGATTTTAAAATAAATGTTTTCCAGTGTAGTCAGTTTTACATTTCGACTAAATATGCCATTAAAGGTGGATGAAGTTAAGCTGGATTTACCAAGTACACCACACTGACGTGTATGATGTAATATATTTGGTAAAGTGTGTATTTTAGGTTTTTTAATGCCTTTTGTACAAGTTGAAATAAAGTCTTTTGACTGTTTAGCTTATTGTTCAGTTTCAGCCTCCTGAGTGAGGGGTAAACTTATTCATGTCAAAGTCTTGTACAAAGTAAAAGCTTGTTTTCTAGCAAATGGTAATATTTGGGGTTGGAAAGACACCCAGCTGTGTAAATTGTATAGTCTGTATAGCTCCACATTTTGTTAAGCGTGTTTTGTTTTAAAGCGTACACACAAATGCAAAGTTGTGTCCATTTACACACACGTGTATGTGATGTTAAACATACGCATACTCCTGTGATTGGAAGCTGTAGGTTCAGAAAGTGGATCCTGCCTGTCCAGACTCTTTTGAAGACCTTAACTTGTAATGACTTTGTTTGACAGATTTTTTAAATAATATGATCTTGATTGGTATTCTTGAAATAAAGCCTCTTGGCTTTTTGTTTTTTAAATTGCTGCTAGCATTTTGTTCTATGAAGTGAATAATTTAACTGTGTTTTCATACAAAAGACATATTCCCAACTTTCTTTCATCTCCCCACCCAAAGTATTCATATTGCAGAGATTTGATCTATGACATCCAACCTTTAAAAAAATTGCTCGATGGCTTTCTTGGAAGGCCCAGGAATAGTGCATGCGGAAGATTTGCCCTAGATTGTTTTCCTCGCTGTGTTTCAGGACAGTCTGGTTCTTCTCCTTAGGGCACTTCATACTGCAGCTCTGCTCTCTGACTCGTGCTTGCATGGCTCCGAGTGCTGCTGGGGCGAGTTCAGCCCCGTTCGTAAGGGCCCGTTGATCCGCTGTGCTGATTGTGGTTTTGACTGTCCCTGAGTATTTGTTTATTAGTGCGCGTTTGTTGTTAATAGGCGACGGTGCTTTCCTGTTTCCCGCGCTCATACACGCAGCGTGTAGTTAATGAGCGCAGTGAGCACGTCGGCAGCTCCGGCTGGCAAGGCTGACGGGCTGTGGCCAGGCTTACAAGTTTACTGGGCAGTGCGGGGGATTCCAGCGTGTCCTTTTGATTATGGTGAATGCTTTTTATAATACGTACTTACAAGAACAAAGTTTAGGCAGGCTTGCAGTGTTGCATCTCTTAATCGACCCCGGGCGTTTTATAAATAGATGAATGATGTTTTCCTGTAAAAGTGGTTCTGCTGAACAGGATGCCAGCAGTGAGTTTTACATTGCCAAAATATGTTGAGCTGGTATTGAATTAAACTCTTCCATACTTTGGATTTCCTTGACATTTTAACTGTATATTAAAGTAAAGCACATTATCTCTAAAACGCAGTGCTAAAGAAAATCTTTTGAAGTTTTCCTCTTTATTGCTGCTAATAATCACAACATTTTCTCTGTAATTCTTGTAAAAGTGATGACTGGATTAGCTTGGGTGTTCTGAGATTTTTCAAGCTTGGTTTCCTAGAGCTAAAATCTGAAAATTTGGTTTTGCACAGCAGAGTCCCAGTTAGTTCAGCTGGCTGGCTGTTCATCCACCAGTTTCAGCATAGCTCAGAGAGTCCTCTCTGGGCTGAAGGGAGAGCACTGGGGGAGGGGTCCTGCTGTAATCGGTGTAAGCGCAGGGGGCGGTTTTGTATGTACTAACCATGGAAATTTTCAAAGGTGTTACATAGCTCGTGTATGCTCCTTGAAGCACAGTTTGATACTGAAGAGGTGACTGTCTTTGTCCTCAGTCTGATTCCTGATAATCAGATTTCTTCCTATTAACAACTAACTTCTGTCATGATTTTTTATTTGTTACGAAGACAGTCTTGAGCTGGTTGAGGAAAGAGCAGAACCCTGTTCTCTGCCTGATGCACCTTGGACACAACTATTCACTGCTGATTCAAAAGCTGGATCTTCTTTTGCTTTGGTTTTCGGTTTTGACTCTGCTGAGTATAAAGGGAATGTGCAGAGGCAGCAAGCAGTTAAATTTGACCTGCAGGATTTTCCCATTGTCCCAGAATGGGCTGAAGCCTTGGTAACCAACTGAAACATTTTTTGATTGTAAGTTAGGTGAATCATCAGCATCAGACACCGTGCCGTTTTAGTCCTGTTGAATTACACCAGTCCTAGCTGAATGACACTTTTTCCTCCTCTGTAGATAAAAGTAATTCTTTTGTTGTTTCATTAAAATGGAGGCAGGCTTTTAAAGCTGACAAACACTCCTATCTGCCTGGTTTTGTTCCCTGCATGGGCAGCCTTCCTCTCAAGGAGCTAAAGCTTTAAACAAGAGTGTTTGATTTTTCTCTTAGCTGTACTAATTCCTATGCTGTAGGTTGTAATGCCAAGATCAGCTGGTTCTCTAAAGGCTGGAAATAAGGAATCAACAACTCCCATTCACTGAGCAGGGGACAGAGTACAATGGGCAATTTAGAGTATTCCCCACGTGAAGCACTGATGTTAAAAAGCAAAAAGGAACGTCCGTCTGCTGGGAGATCACGTCCGCTGAGCTAAGCGGGTATCATATCAGAGATCTTTATACTGCCAGATCCTGTGCAGCTGGGAAGAAAGAATTGTATTTCTCCAAGAAGTAGGAGTCAGAATTAGCTAGTCTGAAATATAAACCACCTTTGTGGACTGCGAGACTAAACACTGCATCATTAAACAAAGGGCAGAAGCTTGGTTTGTGCTGCACAGGGGGTTGATCTGCTGGACGTGAAGTTCCAGAGGAAACTGCAGGAACCCGAGGGCTGCGACGGGGACCAAACCTCCCTGCCGAGGGCAGCCAGGGACACAGGGCACCACCGCCAGTGTAGTTGCTGGGGGACCTGAGGAGAGCGTGTGTCTATAAATACTTCATTTTTTTACCATTAAAGTTTGCATAATGATATTTGTTTTCTCACAAAGTCCAATTTGTTTGGTTTAAATCAAGTCTTTAGTGTAGTTACAGAAGAGCTTATATACAATAAGGATATAGCCCACCATTTGCAGTTTACTTCCAACATGAAAAAACCCACAAAAAATCAAGTCTAGAATGACTTACTAGTCAACTTGGTTTATTTGGTGTTTTCCAATGGTAGCCAAATTCTGATTTTTACCCCCATGATCCTCACATGCACATTAGCCAAATGAGTCTTATCTGTTCATAGAGTACCATTCGCCCTTCACGTGGCGTCGATCGCCTCTGCAGCAGCAAACAATGTGCCTTGCTTTTAAATAAGGGCTTGGCTCAAAGGAAAGGCTCCTCTCCCTGCACAGCGCCGTTGTTCCGGAACTCCGCTTGCTCCTCAGCCTCCTTTGTCGCAGAAGCCAATCCTTAAAAGCCTCAGCCTGTCGACTCGTCTTACCTTGTCAGAATTTGAAATGGTATTATGGACTAATTCCATTTGTATCACAACAAATGAGTAGTTAAGAATGGCAATATAGCACTTGTAAGGGTTCCTTAGCGGGGCTGCAGGAAAATGACTGCATTTACAGTGCCAGAAGAGCTGAAATTCATGTCAGAGTATTCGCAACTGAAGAATCTAGAACAAAGAAACCGTTACAGTGTTGCAAGAGCTAGTTAAATTCTTTCAATTCTCTGTTTTCTCTGTAATTGAGAAAACTTTCCTGAATCACTTTATTAACAACAGCTTTAGCTGAGCTGAAGAAGCGAGGTGTGCGAAGGGCTCACAGCACAGGCAGCACCCGAACTCCCAGGGCAGCTGGATATATAGTGTTTGGACTCAGGAAAAAAAAAAAAATTCCCAGATTTCCAGTGTTTTATGGCCTTTTTTTTATAAAGGATGAGAAAGTTCATACCATGTACACAGAACCAAACTGCCGGATTTTTACAAATTCCATGGCCAGATTTCAAGGGCATAGATACTAATTAAGCAAAAGTAGGGTGAGTTGGGTCAGCTGTTTCGGAACTCGGATCCCTGCTAGGAAGAGACCCAGGAATCCTCTCGGTTGCTGTAATGCCTGAAACACAGATGATGCATGAATTCCCGATGCCGCAGAGACTGGTCTGAGAGTTCCAACGGAGAAGGAGACAGACGGCAATAGAAAAAGCAATTGGAGCCTTTACAGACATTTAGCACATTAAGACTTTGACTTTTGTCCAGTTTTGAAGAGAAGACCCAAGTTTAATTTCTTTCCTGCGGTATTTGTCAATATTTTCCTATGTGAAATCCCAGAGAAAGAGACCTTGAATTCCTTTACTGTAAATTTTAGAAGAAGTGCTCCCTCTCACCGTGCATTTATGGTTTTCCACATTACCCAGAAACGACACTAAGCTGTGTTCCCCGACGGCGCAGAAAAGACCCTGGGGAAAGGAGCAGCTTCTGAGCTCTGAAAACTGCATTGCATTTTAACGCCCCCCCCCCCCCCCCCCTTTTTTTTTTAAACGGCGGTATTTGGGAATTAGACGCGCGTTTCTCCTATGATCTAGTGTAAGAGTTTCCCAGAGGAGGGGCAGGTGCTGCGTTCTTTGAGCGATGCTGGACACCCCACTGCACTGTCCATGAGGCAGACGGGGAGGGCGCGGTACCAGAGCCGCAGCGAACCCGACGAGCTGCGTCTGCAGGGAACACGGGCCTCGGCGACAGGAGAAATGAAATTACGGGCACTTGATCTACGGGAAACGGCTCCCGGTGCTCCTCAATGCCGCGTCGTTAACACGTCATCTACAGTAACTTTCTGAAAACATTTTTCGTGCTGCAGCTGTCAAACGTGTCTGGCTGACGAGCAGGCGCCGGCGCTTGGGAAGGGAGAGCC